AAAAAAAAAAAAAAAAATGAAAACAGCAGCCATTTAATGTAGATGAAACAGCCTTGTATTGGAAGAAGATGCCATTTAGGACTTTCATAGTTACAGGAGAGGAGAAATCAACGCCTGGCTTAAAAGGACAGGCTGACTTTCTTGTTTAGAGATAATGTAGCTGTTGACTTTAAGTTGAGGCCAATGCTCAACTTACCATTCTGAAAATCCTAGGGCCCTTGAGAATTATGCTAGATCTATTCTGCCCATGCTCTATAAATGGAACAACAAAGCATGGATGACAGCACATCTGTTAAAAGCATGGTTTACTGATAATTTAATATTCTATGGACACCAACTATGCAGAAAAAAGATTTTTTTCCAAAATATTACTGCTCATTGACAACACACCTGGTCACCCAATAGCTCTGATGGAGATGTACAAGGAGGTTAATGCTGTTTTCATGCCTGCTAACACAACATCCATTCTGTAGCCCATGGATCAAGGAGTCATTTTAACTTTCAAGTCTTGTTATTTAAGAAATACATTTTGTAAGGCTATAGCTGCCATAGTGATTCCTCTGATGGATGTGGGCAAAGTACATTGAAAATCTTCTGGAAAGGATTCACCATTCCAGGTACTATTAATAAGATTCGGGATTCATAGGAGGTCAAATTATCAACATCAACAGAAGTTTGAAAGAAGTTGACTCCAGCCCTCATGAATGACTTTGAGGGGTTCAAGACTTAGGTGGAGAAAATCACTGCAGATGTCGTGGAAAGAACAAGAGAACTAGAACTAGAAGAGAAGCCTGAAGATGTGGCTGAACTGCTGCACTCTCATGATCAAACTTGAATGGATGAGGAATTTGAATGCTTCTTATGTATGAGCAAATAAAATGGTTTTTTTTAGATGGAAACTACTCCTTGTGAAGATGCCGTAAACACTATTGAAATGACTAAAAAGGATTTAGAATATCATGTAAACTTAGTCAATAAAGCAGTGGCAGGGGTTGAGAGAAGCGATGCCAATTTTGAAAGTAGTTCTATTGTGGGTAAAATGCTATCAAACAGCATTGCATGCTACAGGGAAATCTTCCATGAAAGGAAGAGTCACTTGGTGCAGCAGACCTCACTGTTGTCTTATTTTAAGAAATTGCCACAGCCATCCCACCTTCAGAACCACCACCCTGATCAGTTATAATTACCCTGAGCAGCCATCAACATGGAAGCAAGACCCTCCACCAGCAAAAAGAGTCTGACTCATTGAACGCTCAGATATTCATCAGCATTTTTTAGCAATAAAGTATTTTAAAATTAAGGTAGGTACATTGTTTTTTTAGACATAATGCTATTATACACTTAATACCCTACAACATCGAGTAAACAAATGAGATTACATCAAGCTAAAAAGCTTCTGCCCAGCAAAGGAAAGTGAAGAGAAGACCTACAGAATGGGAGAAAATATTTGCAAACTATCCATCCAATGAGGGATTAATAACAAGAATATATAAGGAACTCAAACAACTGAATAGCAAAACACCAAATAAGGCAATTTAAAAACAGGCAAAAGACCTGAATAGACATTTCTCAAAAGAAGACATTTAAATGGCCAACAGGTATATGAAAAAATGTTCAACATCACTAATCATCAGGGAAACGCAAATCAAAACCACAAGGAAATTATTATCTCACCCCAGTGCAAATGGCTATTATCAAAAAGACAACAGACGCTGGCTAGGATGTGGAGAAAGGGAAATGCTTGTACACTGCTGGCAGGAATGTAAAGTAATACAGCCACTATGGAAGCTGTATGGAGGTTCCTCAAAATACTAAGGACAGAACTACTATATGATCCAGCAATCCCACTGCTGAGTATATATCCAAAAGAAAGGAAATAAGTTTACTGAAGAGATATCTGCCCCATGTTTATTATAGCCCTATTCACAACAGCCAAGATATGGAATCAACTTAAGTGTTCTTCAGCAGATGAATGGACAAATAAAATGTATATATACACAGTAGATACTATTCAACCATAAAAAGAATGAAACCATGTTATTTGCAGCAACATGGATGGAAATGGAGCTCACTATGTTAAGTGATGTAAGCCAGGCACAGAAAGACAAATATTGCATGTTCTCTTTAAAATGTGGAAGCTAAAAAAGTTGATCTCATGAAGATAGGGAATACACGGTGGTTACTAGAGGCTAGGAAGGGAAGGGAGGAGAGAGGATGAAGAGAAGTTGGTTAAGGAGTACAAAAGTACAGTTAGATAGAATAAGTTGTAGTATTTGACAGTACAGTAGGGAAATTATAGTTAATAATAATCTCTGTATATTTCAAAATAGCTAGAAAAGGTTTATAATGTTCCCAACACAAAGAAAAGACAAATGTTTGAGATGAAGGCTATTCCAATTATCCTGATTTGATCACTATACATTTTACATAGGTATCAAAATAACCCATGTACCCCCAAAATATGTACAACTGTATCAATTAAAAAAGAAAAAGAAATTTAAAACACCCCCAGTTTTGTTAAATAATTATTTAACTTCAGAAATGCCAGTGATAAAAGGTGTTTTTTAAAAAATCTTTAACTGCTTGTCCTCCTGCAGAAGCCATCACTTCCACAGGAACCAACACTAAAAATCATAGTCTGCTGCAGAAAGCTTACTCAGAACTTCTAAGAAGTGATACAAATTTGTACTCAGAATGACTAGCCTCAAGGGGTCTCACAGCACATGAATCACAGTCACCTAATCTTTAACAAGAGGGGAGAACACCAAAAAGCTCTTGTGGGGCTGAAATTCCACGTAGAGAGTGACTTCTCCAGTCTAGGTTATCTATGGTGGGGTAACACCTAGATGCAATAATTTATTTGTGATCCTTGTATTCATTAAGGAAAAAAAAAAGAGCCTAGTGACTCAAACTATTGATGTGTAACAAAACATTATTTGCCGAGCAACTGAAGTTGCTTAAGTCCAATGAAAGGTGAATTCATTATAGAAGCAACTGAGGGAATGAATTCAATTTGAATATTTCAAATAAAGAGAATGATATAAGTAAAGCCCAAAGGCATGGAGACAGAAAACTTTTGCTCATTAGAATTTAGAGCAACAAAGACAGATGGAAGTTTTTTGTTTTTTTTTTTGAGACAGAGTCTCACTGTGTTGCC